AAAAACACTGCCCCCTCTATTTGTGGGGACTGTGGTGGGGGGGGGGGGGGGGGGGAGGGAAATCAGTCATGTAGCAACAGAACTTTAATAAAACACTAAATACAATGTCAAACTTACATTGACCAACAAAATGCTAAAGCTTATCAAGTAGTTATATTTCCCTCAGAAATGTAAACTATGTCAAAAAATATTCAAATCACACTGTGTAAATTCCATTTAACAGAATATATTAAGTATGTGTAAGCAAAAATAAGAAGTTATTATTCTCCCAAGAGTTTTCCTACTATTATATATTTTTACAAGTTAAGATATGTTCTGATTTTTTCTGAGTGAGAACTGAGACAGTTACAGTGAAATACAGGAGTGCAAAATCTGAACAAGACGGTTTATTATACAACACTACCTAAACACTAAGATTATCAGACATCATTGGTGCCAAACAAAACCTAGCTAGACAGTGAAGAGCTGTAAGTGGTATGATACCAAGGAACTGACCAGAACATTACCAAGTGCCCTAAGACATGGCACTTCAATGCTTGCAGAGGTTTATGTTTAAGAATGTCACATCCAAGTCTTAATCCTTCTATTTGGAGATTTCACCTGAGCACCACCTCAGTGAGTACAGTTACACGTATCACATTTTTAAACTTGAAAGTTGATTTAGTGGCTTGCCTGCATGCCACTGGTGTTCCCAGACAGCATATGATCTCTGCTGAGAATCAGCTGACTTGTGCAATTGGTAACTTCCAGTCTTATGAACTCAGTTACCTTAACTGGGACACTATGAACTGGAGGGCTAGGACAGAAGTTTTAATTTTTCATAGCAGAGTACTTAGGTCACCTGAAATCCTCACCTTTTCTCTCCAGCTAGCTTCCTGCTTCCGTTTTTCCTCTTACACTAACTATTAAGAAAAAAGTTATTTACATGCTTTTTCAGATATTCATGGCTCAATTGGCATGAAGACAGAAAAGTAATCAGAGGCCACCAATTAACCAGATACAAAAAGCACTTGCAAACTAAGCAAATCCACTTATTCCTCTACTTTAGGTTGAGTTTTGGTTTTGTTGTGTGGTCTGTTTTTGTTTTGTTTTTTTTTTAAGTGAGAAGAAGCACAATGGATTAGGCAAAGGCCTAGCACTTTGTTAAAAATATATCTAGATGCTTTAGCCATCACTTCTGGGAGTACTATATTGTGAGAAAACATTACCTGAAAGACTCATGTCCTGGAGTGTCAATTATCAGCATGCCTGGAATTTTTATGTTCTCTCTGTCAAACTGACATTTCAAAATATTAGCCATCTTGTAAAGATTACACAAGAAGAAAAAAAAAACACCTAAGAGCTGGCAGCATTGCTGACAGCCTTCACTTCAAAAATCCAGATACATATTTTAAGAAAGGCCAGCACCCTCCATAAACCAAATCAAAGCTCATTTCAATATTAAAAAAATATGATGGAGCACATTCCCTTAAGTATCAAGTGGCCGTAAGCTCAGCTAAAATTTGTAAGACAAGGCAGCCTACAGAAGAAAAAACAGTTCAGGCTAGTGAGATTTGTCATCCTTGTCTTAAACATCTCCTCCTCTCCACTGACTTCACATTTTTAATAAATTGAGTAAAATCTTGGAAAAAGCCATCACTACCAAGGTTTTTCAGTCAGCTGCTGCTGCAAGCAAAATAGGATATAGTATCCAAAACAAGCAATACAGACCAGTTACTATTTCTGTAACACAATAAAGTTCATCGCCCAGGAATTGGCCCAATTTCAGCACACGAAGTAAAGAGGTACGTTTTTTAACAGAAAATACACTCAATAAGTTTCAAAAGTCTCGGTTTACAATCAAAACATTGACAAATAAGCAGTCTATGTACATATGTGTACTGTCCAGAACAGAGTAAGCAGTATTTGTGTATTTTTCTGAAGAAGTGGCAATATATTAACTGAAACCAAATGTATCAACTAAAATGAAAAATGAGACAGCCTCCCCTTTGCGGGGGGGGGGGGACATGACAGGATAGGAATTGAAAAACAATCAACCCCAATATTAGAGATGGGAGGAAAGTACATCTGCCCATGTCAGGAAATCTCACAAGGCCTTAACTAGTTTACATTTCATAATTTTTAAAAACCAGTCTTTGAAGTGCTACAACTTACATTTTTCACCATCTTAGTTTGCTCATTAATAGCTTCAAGGGGAACGTTAGTCGCACCAATCTGCTGAGTGATACCACCAGCTTCACTGTCCTGTACGTGAGTATGGCGGAGCTAAAGGCAAAAAAAAGACCAGAAATACTTACATGTAAGAGACTAAAGTCATCTCTTCGAGTACACTTTAATTCTTTCTATTTTCAACCAAAAAAGCCACATGCATAAACAAGATGCACAGGCAGTGCCTTCACATTCCACATCTTACCTTATCTAAAATTTTGGTCTTGCCTGTGTCTACATGCCCCAGGACACAGATAACTGGTGCTCTGAGCTTTTCAGTGTTCATATTTTTGCTGTTTTCAGCTCGTCGCTTCTATGTAAAAGACAGATAAAAATTGGTAAGTATAAACCAAAAACCACAGCTCACCTCTTAACTCTGTTTTATGTATGTAACCAAGTCACATACATAAAACAGAGTTAACTGTGGGACTTAAATTTTCAAGGCAATTCAAGGTCTGCCATCCCTCTTTTGGCAAATCAAAAATTTACAACTAACAGTTAAGGGTTTTTTTGTTTGTTTTTAGTTTTTGGTTACAGTCTAGTAGGCTAAGTTATTATATCCACTAACACATAGCTTTGCTGATGATGCATTCTGAAGAAGCGTCTCAGGTAAGGAAACCAAGGACATAAGCAGCCACAAAAAATGTTGAACAGTTTAGAAACACATCTTTGAAATATCTACTTGTAAAGGATAAAAGCCTCCTTCTCCAGGAAGGGGAGAGGTGGAGGGGAACGACACTAAAGTGCACATTCTTTGTGATCGAGTTGTCTAAAACCCAGTACTTCAGCTTCAGGCAAAACCAGGTCTTTTTTTCTTAATTAACCCAATTTCTGGACCTGCCTAAATATTAGTCATGACACAGCCATCATTTTGACAAATATGGTTAAAAGGCCCTTCAATGAACTGAAGATTAAGTTGTTTCTTATACAACACAAGAGTCCAGCTGTTCAAATAAAGCTGTATCTCAAATACCTCAATTCTCCGTTTAGCTTTGTCATAAGCACGCTCTTCCTTAGTGCGGTCATCATCAGAGTCGTACTCAGAATCAGAGCTAATTTCCTTACTGGGCTTTTTTTCCATGGATTGTTTTCCAACAGCCTGGGAGTCTGCCTCTCTCTCATCTGAAGTCTTTTCATCCTCATCTTCACTCCCTTCACTATCTTCAGACTCTTCACTCTCTTCTTCCTCTTCCTCCTCGTCCTCTTCCTCCTCGTCTTCCTCCTCCGCTTCATTTTGTTCTTTGACTTCAATGTGGACAGGTTTACTCTCTGCCAAAAAACCCCAAATCTAAAGTAAAAATTCTGTATTAAATTCACACTTGTGGGGGAGAGGGCAACAAAAAACCAAAGAGAGACTGCTATAAAAGAGTGAAGACTGAAAGTAGGTTCCATTCAAGAAGCGCTAGTCAAGATCATTTTTCAACTTTCAATATAAAATAAGTGTTTCATGTTCAGAGCTGCTGACTTGTGTTTAGAATCTGTGCAAGCAGAGTGAGTTTGGGATGGGGGGAGGAATTATATCAGCACACTTACGCTTGACATCATTTGCAAATATTCAGATAAAGTGACATTCTTTAAAGCTGTGTGCACTTCGTAAGGGAATGAATGCACTAACACCTTTAAACAGAAAGCCAAAAAAAGTGTTTCATGTTCAGAGCTGCTGACTTGTGTTTAGAATCTGTGCAAGCAGAGTGAGTTTGGGATGGGGGGAGGAATTATATCAGCACACTTACGCTTGACATCATTTGCAAATATTCAGATAAAGTGACATTCTTTAAAGCTGTGTGCACTTCGTAAGGGAATGAATGCACTAACACCTTTAAACAGAAAGCCAAAATACTCCAAATTCAACACAATATGGATTCTGTTTATTACTGATCAGGAATGCACACTTAAAGCAGAAGAAACAATCAAGACAAATGGTCTCTTCTACATCTTTAAAAGTCTCATCTTAAGGTTTTCCTAGACTGTTCAGAAAAGATGAATATTTTTCAGAGGAATTCTTCAGTAAATAAAAACAACTATCAAAAAGTAATTTTCTCTCTGTGAAAGCTTCCCATTTATCATACTTGCCAAATCATAAGAGACAAGCTAATGAACACTTTAAAGCCATGCATTCTCTTCCTTACAGAGCTGCTAGGAGGCTCACTGCTCTTAGAGATTAGTTATGTTTTCTTGCTATGCTGAAAGTCCATCAGCTTAGTAATAGACTAAATCTAATTCCTAGGAAGGCTCTTTTTCTGGATCATATTGGCAGATCCTTCAAATCCAAGCAGCAAGAAGGGGGATGTGACACTCCCCCCAGGACAGCGGTGACAGACTAAAACAGACTTTCAAGAAGGTGAGCAGCCCTTAATACTCCAAGTAGAACAGTCCAGCACCACAGGAACACACACTTGTGCTGAAATAAAATCCATACTACTGTACATATATGTATATAAAGCATTACACTTGAAGGCACAGGTGCCAGAAGTATAGGGCTGAGCAAGTCAACAAATACTTGATGAATAGTCTTTGATCTTAAGAAACAATGAAGACCCATCGCGGAAGCGCTAAGAACAGTAATCAACCGTTCAGGAAAACTCGCAGCAATACAGCTTTCTCCACCACTGGAAGAAAACACCCGAGAAGTTATCCCTGCATTCTTGCGCAGCTCTAACTGCCCCATAAACATTGCTGTTGGCCGCAGACAGAATACAGGCTTTGGCATATACGCACAGGAATATGAATGTTCTGGCAATTCTTCCCTTTCTTCCACACCTGCCTCTCAAAGAAGCACATGACAGAAGGTATCTAGAACCTACTATAATGCATGCATACTAACCTTCACACCATCTTAGTCCCACGCTTCTTTGAGAACTTCTCTCAAAAGTACTCTCCTAGATGTTGCCAGATGTGTAGTAAAAGTGTTATGGCTTCGGAATGGTTACTAGAGAAATACAGTACCAGGTAAAAGGTTTCCCTAAACTCCCAGAAGTGGTTTAAGCACATATTAAAGAGGAGAGGATTTCTACTCCTATAAAAACAAACAAAAAATTCCAACTGATTTATTTTAGGTGGTAACTGCACATATGAGTATTTCCAAAGGGTCTTCTTGAGCAGTTTCTGAAAGCTCTACCTTTGAGAAGAGGATCTTATGTCTATTTATCATCACACTTGCCTCACAATTTATCTAACAGGGCAGGGGAGAATCTAAATACAATATTGTCTTCTACAGAAACCAAAAAAGTCAGCCCAAAGAAACCCCTTAATCAGAAACAGCATCCGTTTGGTATTCACATGCCCACCTTTCTCTCCATCTTCATCACTAACCATAGCTTCCCAGTCATCCAAACCCGCATCTTCCGTTTCTTCTTCTTCCTCCTTTTCTTCTGAAACTAAAAAATCCAACATTAAAGAAAGAAACAGCCCAGCAACATACAACATTTTTAGATGTCCCTTCCTTTGACATATTGACAACTGCAACTTACAAGTTTGCTGCTACCATAATTCTACCAAATTATCTCTGTGTTCCCTAAACAGAAAATGCTGCATACTTAAGAAATAATCTTCAGTTCTCTCCACAAAATCTTATAGTGCTAGCACCTTTGCCTAACAAAACATACTTTTGGAAGACATAGCTAAACTATTTATCTAGTTGCTGTCTGCATATCGTGCAAGTGCCTGCATAATGCATGCCACACAAACCTCTACCACAACCCAATTAACAGTTTGCCATGTGTAACAAAGTGACAGAGAAACAAGAAAACAAATTGGGTTACAGTATTAATTTTAATTAGTGGGAAAATAACAAATTGTCTATGAACAGTGCTGTTTTAGGACTCCAGATGCCTTAACATAATTATACCATGGATTCCAGAAGCATTAAATACATTCATTCCAGCAGGAATTCAGTCAGATATATGAAGAGACTGCAGCTCTTAATAACAGACAAATGGAAAAATGCAAGCTTTTAACCCTCTCCAAAAGAGGCATTTAAACAATATATATGTTGCAGCACATGGAGTGTCATGAAATTTCAGCTCTTTGAAATGAAGTGTATGTTCCAGACTGCTAGAATATTAACTGGGAACTAATGTTCTGCCAGTGAGCCCTTCTCTTTTATGGCAATGGAATTGCTCCTTCAAGAGAGAAGTCAAGCTAGAATTAGAGTATGCATTCAGCTTTGTTTTCAAAAAGCTGGAAATTTTGTTAGTATTTGTCTGACTTAAGAATAAGGGTAAAAATTGAAACAGTTTCCTTGCTGAGGAGGAAGTCCAGTACAATGTGATTTTGCCAAAACAAGTACTGTGTGCAGGCAAAAATTAGGGCAACAATCACTTGCTATGCTGATACTCAGTTTCACAAGCTAACCCATATCCACTGCATTCAGCATTTGTGAAAGCAAACCACTTAGAATCAAGAATACAATCACTGCGAATATTGCAGTATCAATACTAGAAGCACCATATTTCCTCCCTACCCCCACCTAACCACTGACAAAACAGCCTTTTAGAAAGCAAATGAAAAGTCAAGGGAGCTAATCATAAGGCACTGAATGTGCTTGAGATAGCTGCCTAAGCCAATTGAACACTGGCGTGCACCCAGAATAAGGGACCTTTACAGTCTCATTCTGAAGCTTCATACCTTTTTATTCCATAAAATTCCATCAGTTCCTCCCTTAGGAAAAGAAAAAGACAGCAACTACCTCAAGAAAGGATGGCCAGTCAGCCCCCATCCAACAAGGTATGATACCTACCATGCAGTACTGCCACGCAGTCATCTTACGTGTTTTAAGTTTATTAGCATTACTACTAACCTGGCTCTACTGGAAGAGGAGTCTCTTCTTTTACTGGTGTTTCCAGTTCTACAGCATCTTCAGCTGGGGAAGTTACCTCCACACTTTCTGAAATTGCAAGAAAGCAAATCGGTTGCGACATTCTTCCAAAGTGCAAACCAACTTACTTAGACATACAGCTTCACATTTAAGTTCTGTTTTTAAGTTGTGCTGTTACAAGTAAACAAAATCTGAATTTATTTAATACCAAACTAACTGAACTTCCACTTACTGAGCTAAAACGGAAGTCAGAGCATGTGGCTTATTTGAAAAACATTTGGCTTTCTAAGCAGTTAAACAGATTTATGTGATAGGTCAGTTATTGGCTAAGAGGATTACCATTACTTCTGAGCATTAAAAACACCTCACTTTCTTTAAAAGACAAGAGAAAATTAAGTAATACTAATGAACTACCCATTCTTGCTCTACTGTTCCATATAAAAAAAAAATCACTGATACAATTCAGATAAGCACTGTTCTCAATTCTTTACACACACTCCTTCTTAAGTGGTAAGCAGCCACATAACTCTCATGTCGAATGTAAAAAAAAAAACCCAGCTAAATAACAAAAAAACAATGCAATGGTGTTTTGTTTTGCTTAAACTAAGGAATAGTTTTGAGAAGAGCCACAGGAAAACCATGAAGCACAAAAGTAAAAAATTCTGACACATTCGCTCTATGTCTAATTAGTGCAATAAAGTCTAAGTTTTCAAAAATGCAAGCTTTCTGAACTACTCATGTCCTGGAAACTGAAAACTGTTTTTCTATACAAGAAAACAAACAAACAAAAATATTGTCTCCAACTTAAAAGAAAAGCACTAAAACTAGGATCAATCCCCTTTCATCCTGGGACATCAGCTTAGACTTAATTACAAGTCATTACTACTTACGCTACATTGTATTTAACCTACATATGCACACAAAACATTCAACCTCACGTTCATAAAAGGCCTTTACATTCTGTACATCTCCAACATTTAGAAATTCTAAAGAAAATACCCAGGTTAGGGAAAAAAAAAAAACAGTCAAGTAGATTGTAAAACAAAGGATTAAGTGAGCAGTCTTCAAAACAACTTTAGGATCCTAATACATCAGCACTTGCATGTGGGGGTAGAGGTGTCAAAAAAACCTCACAGGCACCCTGAAGTGCAATTAGTTTAGGATTAGCTGATTTATTCCACAAACACTTCCAGAAATGTGACTAATCTATTAATTATCCCTATATGTAAACCACACCTTCTTTATTTTCTGGCTGCTGCTGCTTCTTTTTCTTTTTGTCTTCATATATTGGCCTCTTCTTTGGCACAGAGTCTTTGGATGGCACTTCAACACCTGCAAAAAAAAATGTTTAGAAAGAAAATCCAGGTGATTAATTACTAAACATCAGCTTTGGTTTAAATGAGAATACGTCTTCCAGAATTGCAAGGTGGAGGAAAGAAAAGAGTGGAAAGTAGGTTCAATGCATATTTTATCTTTTTAAAAAGTCTGATTTTCAAAAGCTGCAAAACTTGAGCAAAGTATAGTTCTTCAGATACTCTGAATGCTCTCAAAAAGAAGTTAGGTTACTAGTTGTGGTGGTGGGGAAACCAGCAAAGAAAACAATCTGATCCCAAGACTCCAGATTTGAAGCTATCACATACTTACATAGGATTTCATGAACACACATACCTCAAGTTTAACAAGCATATGTCAATTTAAAGTCTGCTATGCTAAAACTAACTTAAAACCAGTCTGCCAGCCATCCTAGTTTCAGACAATCTGGAGCAGTTAAGAGGCACAGCTCTTAAGAGCTTAAGGTTGTTCAGTAGATAGTATTTTCCCTTTTGCTCAGTGTTGGGGTTTTTTTGTTTGGTTTTTTGAACAACACAGATGTTTTTAGGTATTAAAATAATGCCAGGTTCAATTCATCAGCTTCATCTTCACCTCACCAGAAAGACAGTACTGTAATGTTGCAAGGGATTCAATTAAAAACAGAAGTTTGGTGCAAAGACAAATTAGTAATTTAATTACTGCTGCACCTTCTGAAACACTCAAAATTCCTTCAGGTACTGTGTGATTTACAGTGTAGATTTAACAAAAATCCAGTTGTGGCAGCACACAAATAGGATTCTAGTAACTACAGAAACGACTGAAGAGAAGTGGTCTTTGTGTATGTTTAAGAGCTCCAAACATTTTACTAGCTACAGAGATTCTTACCCTTACCATCCACCTACCAGCAAAATGTCAGATAATGTTCTCTGCAAATACAAAAAGAAGGATACTCAGCACTCAGGAATTCATTTCCTTCCTTAGCCACAAACAAGTTACCAGGAACAAATTAGGACATGGGCTTACAATCTATTGGATACATTTACTTCATTGCAATGGAAACAGATGATATTTGACAGAAAAGCAGGAAAGCTCCTATATACCCTTTTCCTGAAGCAAATGCAAGAGGATAATATACTGTTCCCATGGACTAGCTAACTTGAGGCTAGACAATGCAGTTGCTTAAGTGAGCACATGAATTAATCCAAGAGGATCCAGATCACTGGTCTTACAAGACGTGCAGCACAGCCCATCTGCCTTTCCTGGCCTTTGGACTAAGCAACGGAAAGAAGGGATTTTTCTTAAGTTCCATAACTAACATCTTTACAGCGCAAGTGGAATGTATTAAAAAGTTGGGTATTTAAAGTGCAAGATGGAAACATACAGACATTTAAACTAACTTAAAAAAAAAGGGGGGGGGCCCCACACACACTGCCTTGACAACAGAGCAGCTTTACATGGAATTACTCAGTATTTGCCCTCCTAGCTCCAGATAGAAAAAACAAAACACAGAGCAGTAAGGGATATGAATTTTTTTATTATTATTATTTTTTATTATTATTATTTTAAACTTTACCGCTTACCCTGAGCTTGGAGTAGTTTAAGAGTAGCCTCCGCTCTGGCTCTGGCTTCTCGTTGAGCTTTTGTTAAAAGTTTTCCCTCCTTCTTCAAACGCTCCTTTCTCTCTTTTTCCTTCTGTTTCTTTCTTTCTTTCCTCTCTTGCTCTAATCGTTCCTAGAAAAACGTTAAAAAAAACCATGCAGAAATTTTAAAGCACGCTTTACACAAAAGCTGGCCAAGTGTATTATTCTATTGATGATAAACATATTAAGGACTAATCCACCAACTGCACCAGCAAGGGTACAGGTTAAGACTACCCTCTCCCTTATTCTATCCTCACAGTAAGACACACGGTACCTCCTCTTTGCGCTTCGCTTCTAGTTCCTCCAGTCGTCTTATGCGTTCTTCCTCCTCTCTTTTTGCCCTTTCCTCCTCCTCTTTCATTTTAGCCAAGGCTTCTTGCATAGCTTTAACTGTAGCTTTACTGGGACCCTTTTTCTTCTCTTTCTCTTTTTCTTCTTTCTCACCTTTCTTTTTTTTCTTGTCTTTTTTCTTTTTGTCCCCCTCATTGTCATCAGCTACAGAAAGAAGAGGCCTACATTCAAAGATCCCAGAAATTTTAAAGGTACTCTAAATACAATTAATGTTTCAAATATGATAAATAACACCAAATGAGGAACATTTTGACTGGCTACTACATAAGCACTTCATAATGAAAAAAATAAAACTGTCTCTTAAGTCAGGGCCTAAACTCTTAAAGTAACAGAATAACTGTGAAGTGGAAAAGTATGTTTGCAAAACAGAACTGTAAGCATATATTGTAATGAGAATTCGCCACCTGGCTTTTGTTTTCCCATGTACCTGAACAAACTACAGGCCAGAAAAAACAGCCACATGTGAGCCAACACAGAGGCAGACAAGGCTACCAAATGTCTAGTATTCCCGATTCAGAATAAAGCAACAAATCATCCTCACTGCCTGCCAACTCTTTGGCCTTCTTACAAAAGCTATAGTGTTTAAGTTACAGTTTTAGAAACCACGTTACAAACCCTCTGTTCCTGCAGGAGTCTCCCCTTTTTCCCCAGGGCCAGGGGCTTCAGGAGAAGCCTTCTCTTCAGCTTTTTTTGGAGCTTCCTTCAGCTTTGCTGGTTCTTTACCACCTTCTAATTCTTCCTTCTCTTTCTGCTTCCTCAGTTTGGCTTTTTCTTCCTCACGTTTTTTCCTTTCACGTTCTTTTTTTTCTGCCTTCTTCTGAGCCACTGTTTTTACTTTGAATGAAGGTTCTTCTTCATCATCCCCACTTTCAGCAGCAGGAGTGGACTTTGGTTTTTGGTTTTTCTTTTGTCCTTTTCTAGACTGGGAGACCTCGTCTGATTCATCACCACTCTCACCTGTAGACACTGCCCCCGCACGCTCTTTGCTTTTCTTAATGTTAGTTTCATCTTCTTCTGACAGATCATGCTTTTTATTTGACTTCTGAGTTTTCCCTTTGCTTTTCTTAAGTTGCATCTCATGATCATCATCATCACTGCCAGAAAGTATGTCTTGTTTTCCTTTCTGAGTTTTTTTAGATTTTTTATCTTTATCTTCCACTTCCTCACTGTCGTAGTCATTTTCCAGAGTGGCTTTTTTACTCTTTCCTTTCCTTTTTTTATCTTTTGATAAGCTTTCTTCGTTGTCATTTTCAACCTGGTAATTAAACAATTAAATAATCAGCCATGAAAAATTACTTGCTATTGTGAGCTAAGAAGTAGCATTGAGAGATGTCAAGAAAAACTTCTCTTACTGAAGACAAAGTTTGGAAGCATTAACTCTTCCTGATGAGTGTACTACACCTCAGCCCACAATTAAAATTTATTCTGATCGGCTTTGAGTAATTATCAGCATGAAGACATGGCTTCTGATAAAATCTTTCACAATTGACTTTACTATGAAAATATGATCAAGTATAATTAAAAATACATGCTAGCCACCAAGTTTCACGCAGGAGCTCCAACTACACCGCAACACTAGAACTTTCTGGGACAGAGGTGTCTCATATTCCAACTATTTCTTATTAAATAGCCCACCTCCCTCTCAATGTTCACCTTTCCTGTAGAAGGTTCCCTGTCAACTTTCCCTCCTTGCGCCTCTATTGACAGTTCTTCCAGCTCCTTCAAGATATCATCTTCACTAAAATAAGAAAGAAGTTACAGTACTTAAGTAACTGAGTTTTTGTATAATGGAATAAAATAGGACAGATAGAAAAACACAAACTTACTCAAAATCCTGTTTCTTCTTCTCTTTTTTCTTTTTGCCCTTGGATTTCTGAGGCTCTTGCTCCTTTGCAGCTCCTGCACCTTCTATCTCAGCAGCAAGGGCATCAATATCAATATCATCTTTTGCACTAACATGCAAAAGGAAAGCAGGGTTATCAAGAGTTCAAACGTTAAGTTTTTAAGTAAAAGCCATCTGCATAAAACAAACAAAAGCTTCAAAATGTAAAATCAATCACAAAATATAAGCAACGCAGGGGCAAAAAACACATTTAACAAACCATTACGCACTATTACCTTATTCCACCCGGTAGGATTGAAAAGGAAAAACCTTCACACGTCATCTGCTTGAAGGGAGGTGGAACAGTAAAACACGTTCAGTTCTTGCAACGCTGACTTTAAAAGTTTAGATGTAAGATTTGATAAAACTTCTTGGAAGAACATAACTAGACTGTTTCACTTTGCTCCTCCGAAAGATAAATTGTTTAGCTCTTCAAATCACAGTAAGTGTCATTGATAGAAAAGCAGCCCCCGCAGTGAAAGTCCAAATATGAAGCACAAGTAGAAGAAATCTTGCAACTTAGTAACCAGGAAATTCTATTAAGAAGCACTTATCTGCTCCTTTAAACACCCTTTAGCAAACAAAAAAGGTACTGTATTTTTATTTAGCAAGTAAGTGGGAGTTCTTCACAGGTTCCAACTTACAGTAACAGCTGCCTATGCTTTGCCATCAGACTGAAAAGTTTTATTCTTCTCTTTCAGGAAAAGAAGTCACATGGAAGAAGACAGTTCAGCCCCAAGGCAGACTCTAAAGCAGGTCATAAAAAATACCTATGCAGTTGGCAAGCAATCATTTCCACCACTTGCCTTAGTATTACCTCACCCAGGCCTAAAGAAAGCCAAAAGAAGTTTCATTAAGCATCTGAAATATGCATCCTTCCTCATTAGATCTCATTATATCAAGTTTCTCTTTCAAAAGCATTTTCTTTTCTTCCTATAAATAACCTCTCATCTGCAGCTAAGCAGAAGTGGCTTTTTTCCTGTCCTTTATCAACAGTTGTAGTTCAGATGCACTTTTTCCTTGACTCGTACCATGAGAATTGAGCAAAGACTAAGTCTAGTGTCCAGAGGTTTTTCCACCTAATCACACTCACAATACAATTGTAAGAAAGGAGACTTACCTATTCCCTGCTTAACACGTAGAACTTCGGTACTCAGACCAAAACTGGTCTACTAAAGTAGCAAATATTAGGATGCTACTTTTATCATAGCATGCAGTTTCAAAAACCATTTAATCAATATGCTATTATTATCTCATCTAACTCCCTCTTAGATACGTGGGCAGAACACTGTTCTTTGTTTCACAATTTCACTGTCTCAATTATTACCACCCACTTAGGACAAATCAGTCAGGCAAAGGCTGACCCACCAAATACCTGAATCTATATCCAGAAAATAAGGGAAATAAATTTATTCCAAATTCAGGACCTCCAAGATATCAGCAAACTCTAAACTACCAGAGCTTCAGCCTTGCCCATTTACAAACCCAGAATTTGAATATTAATAAAGCAAATCAAGTACTTACTGAATTTCAGAATCTTTAGAGGAATAAAGTCTAAGTTGTATATCCCTTTGCAAAAGGAGAGGGATGAGAGAATCATTTTACAAGTTTAAGTGAATGCTGACATTCACAAACCCATTTTATCCCAAAAATTAGGCATAAGCAAGTCACCAAACACTGTCTGTATGTGACAATAGCACAAGTAAGCAACAATGCATTTCCTTTTTTTTAAAGGCCAAGATTGATTATTTGTATTTTCAAGATCTTAAATTTTCTTCTATATAGACTGAACAAACCAAATAAAAAGCAGCACAATGAAGCACTTCGCTGTACAGCATCTTTATTACCAGAGATACTTACTTTTAGTCAAGACAAGAAAAAACACGCCTTGAATATACCTAGTAGTACTTACGTGCTAACATGATAAGTTATACTATTTGAGAGTTACACTTCTCAAGGAAATGTTAACACAAGATTTCTAAACCAATTCCCACCTCCCTCAAGAGGAAATAATAAACTTTTTGGCCATTTCCACCTTAATAATAGCCGACTTGATCTTTCAGCAATTTAAGAGTTGTTTTTATAAGCAGTTTAACTGGCTATGCACCAGGGGTAGCATAGACAGCTGAAACAGAAGTGTCAGTCATCTCTACACCTAGAGTTAAAGCCCTAATATCAGGGTAACTATATTACACCTAGGCCTACACATAGGTCCTCACGTTTCTTTTTGCATTAAGTGCAGCACAACAGTTTATTAAGCACACTTGCTTACCTCCTTCTACTCTAGGAGTTAATGGAGGAGATTGCGTCAAATCCAAGCTTGAAATAGTTTGAAGAGACCAAAATACAAGCTCACTACTACTTCTTCCATGGCTGTACCGCTCCCACTATTACAGGATCTTAACCATGTGGTTGTACAGATATTAAAGAGCCAAGCCTTTAAACAGCTTGTATTTTACATGGATATTCAAGGCTGACTTTTCACATTGCAACTTTGTAGAAAGTTATGTCCTAACATAAAAAACATGGTTTTTATGCTACTAGCAAAGAGGATGATTATGGTACCTTATGTTTTCCAGGATACAGGCTTTAAGGGGGTGGGAGTTTATTTGTTTTTAAATCAACTCACTTCAACTGAACCTTGAAGAAAACTTCTCTGGGGAAAAAAAAAAATCTCAAATCAAACACTGAAAAAACTAATTCGCAGACATTAAGCTTTAACACCCACCAGCAAGAACACTTTAGGAATAGTAATGAAGACTGTTCAGCTGTCACAAGAGTGTCATAAATATAGTAGTACGAGAGCCTTTCCAACCTTGGCTTCCACTGCTCAACAGTCAATGGTTTCCAAGAAATCTATACCTTCCCCTACATTTCCACTTACTAAGAAGTGACACAGCAGGCTTCAAACATTTGCGCCTGGATGAAGTAAAAAGTAAAATTAAGGCTGCATGCATTTATACATACAGTTATAATTCTTCTTAAGAACTGTAAAGCAAGAATATTATTGGAAAGCCAAGGAATTCAAATATTGGCTTCCATTACTAAGAGTTTATTCCCATACTGACCTTGAATTTCCTTACCTTTTAAAACTCTAATGATATGCCACTAGGATTTCATAATGAAGGTAAGTTGAAAAGAAGATTGAGAAGGTGCCCCCCCTTTCTTCCTGGGAGATTCTTATGTCATAAGGAACCCACTGCATTTAGATACATAACAGGAGAGCTTCTTTCATAGAATCACAGAATGGTTTGGGTTGGAAGGGACCTTAAACACCATCTAGTTCCAACCCCCCTGCCATGGACAGGGACACTTTCCACTAGACCAGGTTGCTCAAAGCCCCATCCAACCTGGCCTTGGCATTGGAAGATACACGTAGGAAACTTTTTCAAGCAGTCCACAAACATGTTTCAGAAACCTAAACACTCTCGCCAGGAACCTCTTCCTCCAAGTCCTCCAAAAGGTCTCCACCCATCCCCTCTTGCCCCTCCACCTCAGCCTTTGCAAGGGTCCTAACCCCAGCCCTAAGAATGCCTGATACAGGAACCTGGAAGCACCAGTATGCTCAAACAGTTTTCAGTTCTGACCTCGAACAGCTTTCACATGAACATTTTATATATAGACTTCACAGCCTTACTACCTTAGGCCATTCAAGCTCATAATGCTTTGGGCTCAAAGGCGGCTTGCTGTTGATCCAGTTCACACACCAAGATAACCCCATGTTTCCCCAGCACAACAGGCTCAAGGAGGTCTGGAAAGCGTGAAACTGAAAGCAAAGTGCTACTGCACTGCTGAGAAGGTGTTATTTCCCTGATTTTCTTTCGTCTCTGTTTCAGAAGTGAAGCCTGAGCCACCTTTCTCATTCACTATACTTTTGATTCCAGCCTCTATTTTTGCTGCCAGATATGAAAAGAATTCTGATATTGCTAAATCAGCATTTCAACACTGTAAACTACAGCAAGAGTTAGGTGTGTGTACTTCAGTCAAACCTAAACAAGCAATTTTCAAAACATTAAATGGCTGCAGACATTCCTCCATGGAGGTCTGTGCCTAATACAGGGCAAAACTGTGCAGTGGGAGAAGACACAGCAGTCAGGCTAATTAAAGGAGATGGCAGTAATCCATAACAAGTATGCAGAGATCAACACATTTCAGATACCAAGCAAAACTATTTTTCTTTAGAATCACATGACTGATCAAAAAAAGAAGTGCTCTACATTTCCCCTATGCAATTTCACTGCCTTTTGCCATTTAAGCAGGATTAGAGCAATAGAAGACTTCAAAATATTCCAAAGCACTTTAAAAGTAGCATACAGAAACATTCACATACTTTATACTGAAAAATATTAACCTTACTGCCCTAGAAATGACAAAGAAGTCATCTGTTGCCCAAAAGGGTTCCAGTACAAGTTGTCTGCACAGACTACTGAAAACATGCATTACACAGGGAAAGCCACTTATGAACAGATTCCTGAATATTCTCTGGGTCACTAGTTAAATGCTGTGCTAGCACACCATTCTGTACCAAGCCAGGATCAAATATACTCAGATCATCCCAAGTAAGTGTTTGGAGATTTTTAAGACAGGCATGGGCAACAAAGGAAATTCAACAACATTTCTCATGCAATCAAAACATCAAATCAGGCCAGTAACAGAAAGTGACACTCCAAAAATCCAAACTAAGCTACTTGTGTTACATGTTAAGCAAAACCAGTAACAAATAAAGCTACAATCCCAAATCCTGCCTATAAGAGAAAGAATGAAACGTTTTCAGTGTGAAGATTAAAGCAGTTAGGAAATAAATTAAGAGCTGTCACCTACCGCTGCTCAGTCAGATGTAAAAAGACGGCCAGTAGCTCTCCTACTTATAAGATCCCACACAGTTGCAAGCTATTGAGTCAGAAAAGTGGAAAAACCTCGTGACTGATAGATGCACAGTCTGTAGAAAAAACATCGCAGTGTTTCTCTTGCGGGGGGGGGGGGGGGGGGGGGGGGGGGGGGGGGGGGGGCATTAAAACATGAGAAACAAGCACAGTTTTGGAGCAAGTTCTTTTTCTGATGCAATGGCCTGCAACAGCCAGAACCTAGAAATTCCCTGTGGAAGCCATCACGAGGCCAGAGTTCACCCTAACACGAGCTTTGATTTACAGATGTTCAAGTTTATGTTAATCCTAGTTCCAATATACTAGGGTTTGCTTTAGTCTTTTAAGGGCATGCTTTGCCATTTTGCTTACAAACACTTAAATTGTAAAGTTTCATAGTTTCTAACACTTGTGCACAATTAGAGAGACGTATTTTTTAAGTTTTACCTTTTCTTTTGCAGTCTAGGATATTACAGGGGGTTAATTAGTGCACACCTCACCAGAAGAGAAGTTGTCATG